TTGAGGTTGCTTCTTCTCCAAAGGGTTATTTTCTGTCTCAGGCTAAGTATGCTAATGAAGTCATTCACCGTGTTGGTTGGTCTTACCGATACTAAGATTTCTGATACACCTATTGAGCTTAATGTGAAGCTTAATTCTACTGATGGTGTCCATTTGGATGATCCTACGTTATATCGCGAGCTTGTGGGTTGTTTAGTTTATCTGACGGTTACTCGCCTTGATCTTGCTTATGCTGTTCATGTGGTTAGTCAGTTCGTTTCTGCTCCTCGCTCTACCCATTGGGCTGCTTTGGTTGGCATTCTTCGCTATCTCAGGGGTATCATATTTCAAGGCTTACTATTGTCCTCTACTTCCTCTTTGGACTTGGTGGCCTATGTTGACTCTGATTGGGCTGGTGATGTTACTGATCGCAAGTCTACGTCTGGTTTCTGTATGTTTCTTGGTGATTCCTTGATTTCTTGGAAAAGTAAGAAACAATCAGTCGTTGCCCGCTCTACTGCCGAAGCTAAGTATCATGCTATGGCTCATGCCACTGCTGAGATTATTTGGCTTCGTTGTCTTTTGTTTGATTTGGGTGTCTCTCAGTCTTCTCCGACCTCTCTCTATTGTGATAACCGCAGTGCTGTTCAGATTGCCCACAATACTGTCTTTCATGAGTGGACAAAACACATTGAGATTGATTGTCACTTTGTTCGCCAACATCTGCAGTCTGCCTCTATCTCGCTTCCTTTCATCCCTTCAGCTTTGTAACTTGTGGACTTCTTTACCAAGACTCACACTACTGCTCGGTTTCAGTTTCTTCTTAGCAAACTCTTCGTGTTTTCTGCTAAAACACCTTGAGTTTGAGCGGAGGTGTGAGAATATATTGTGAAATATATTGTGAGTCTTACAAATTAAACTTAGAGTCCTATTAGAGGCATGATTAGGGGTGAAAGAATAACCGGAAGAACCGACCAAACCAACCGAACCGACCGAACCGAACGGTTTTCGGTCGGTGTTTTAAGTTTTCAATCGTTCGGTTCGGTTCGGTTTATGTTTTTTTGTACATTCGGTTCGGTTTACGGTTTTTGAGTTTTTGAACCGAACCGCACCGACTTATATAATATTAATAGGCCCAAACTGTGAAGCCCCAAACCTATGTAGGAATTACATGGCCTGAGTCCAAATTTTATGCAAAATGGATAGAAATATAGGCCCAAAATGTGAGGCCCAACTAGGGGAAAAAAAAGGGCCAAAAAATCGAAAAACCGAAAAAACCGCACCACACCATAATAAACCGAACCGCGCCGGTTTATGTCATTTTTCTGGGCGGTTCGGTTCACAAATATGAAAAATCGAAATTATCGGTTCGGTGCAAAACTAGTGAAAAAACCGACCGAACCGAACCGATTTCACCCCTAGGCATGATTGTATTAGAGTCATGATAGTATTGTATTTGTATTTCCTTTTTGGTTTAGGAGTTAGGGCTATATATATTCTAAGGTCTGATTGTAATTGATACACATTGAATATATGAGATACAGAAAGCTATTCATAAATCTTACAGAGGCATGCCATCATAAGGCCTTGTGTGCCAACTCGTGAACATAGGCTTGGGCTCAGCTATGAACGCGAGGGTCATGTAGCCTAACTAGTGGTTTGGTGACAACGCTGTTCCTTGTAAGAACAATTGAATGGCATGAAGCATTCCCATCATGCAAGGCACATTGTGCGAAGCTTGTGGGAAGGCGGAATGTTGAGAGGGCTATTGACATATGTTGTCATGCTCATGCTATATGCTAGTGCAATGCCTTAGGTGCGCAATGACCCTTGGTGGATGGTTTAGCATGTCAATGCGCGCATAAGGAGTTGAGCAGTGGCCGCGCAACTATCTGAGACGGGTGCAACAAGAGACCCTATAGAGATAAGCTTGTCAACTAGATTGAGGGTTCTACGTTGGTGCTCAATTGGGCAACATTGTGTTAGGTCAGTTGTGAGTCTTGTTGATGCGAGACGCCTTGATTGAGTTGGACCTCAGTTGGGCGAGTGCCTTGTTTGGTGCCATGAAGCGACATGAGCCGTGCGCAAGGTTTTAGAAAGCGGCCGCAACCGTAACATAACGCTGTTACATAACGGTTGTGGTGGTTACTGTCACCAATTATGACCGCTATAGCAGTGTGACAGAAATTCACATGTGTAATAGTCATTTCAGTGTTACATAACGTCTGTAGCGGTACCGTAACGGTTCGTTAGACACCGTTACACCATTTTACAATATTCTGAATAGTTTCATTTTCTCAAAAAAAAAAAAAAAAAATAATTTTTTTTTTTATAAAAAAAAAAAAAAAAAAAAACTAAAGCTTACAACAAAAAAAACAAATACTCAAGTGATCCAAATCCAAAGAAAAAATCTTATATGAATTTTTTTTCTTTATAATTTTTTTTAAAAAATTTATGGCACAATTTTTATTTTATAATCCTCTCATTTAATAATTGTGAATATTTTTTATTCAGTTAGTTCAGGTATTGGTAAAAAATAATTTGTAGACATTTGAAATCAATTATTCTTAAAATCATTAACTACTGAAATAAAATGTAAAAAACTCATTTTATAGTGATTTGAAAATATGAAATATATTGGATCATACTTAAAAATTAACAAAAATTGATCGAAAGTTATTTTAAATTCCAATAAATGTGATTCTAAAAAAAATATGCGTATAGGTAAGTTTTCTTCAAATTGTGCAAAAAATGGAAAAAATCAGGGTTCCGGTTACCGCAACTGTTACGTTACAGCCTTTACACTTCGCAACTGCTACCGTGTCACCGCAACCGTTACGGCTATCGCAACCGCTTTTCAAAACCTTGGCCATATGAGATGGACTGCGGGCGTTTAGCCTACTTGTGGCATGGAAGCCGAAGCTTCCATGTGGAGTTGTTCTTGCTAGACATAGCATTTGAGCTTGCATTTGACACGACGGGTTAAAATTCAACACTCGATGATCAAGGAGAGAGTTTAGGCGGGGTTGATACTTGGTGGAGTTCAAGCACCTCATGGGAAAAAAATGTTCTACTACGCCTCTAACGGAGTCGGTCCGTGACACCTAGCCATAGGCTAGGGGCACGGTTGTCTAAATCACTTAGAAAATATGAAGAAGAAGAACTCCGAAAAATATGAGGAAGAAGGAATATATTTCTGTTATATTCAAAACTTCTTATCTTACAAGACCAAATGACACTCCTTATATAGGAGATATTACAAACATCATCATAACCCATTATATGCCACTTACATATTATATATTACCACTATCTACCACTATCATATTATATACATGCCACTATCTACCACCAACACCACTATCATATTCTATACATGCCACTATCTACAACCAACACCACTATCATATTCTATACATACCACTATCTACCACCAACACCACTATCATATTCTATACATGCCACTATCTACCACCAACACCACTATCATATTATATGCATGAACACAATTTCCAGCAAAATCGTACAATTCATGATACTATTCTATTTGAGTTTTCCAGTGAATAATACGAATCGTAGCTAGGAATTGGAAATCCCCTTGAATTGTGCAATTAAAATTGGAATGGAATGAATTAGGGTGAATTGTCGATACACACAATTCTAGACGATTTAGTTCGTGTGTTTCCCCCCCTTCCCAGCACTATAAAACAACATAGTTTGGAGTCTTGAACCCCCCCAAAAAAAAGGAAAAGAAAAAGGAAATTGATACATACTGTACTAGTTGAATGATGAAAGATTCGGATGAATTGGTTCATATTGATCCATTTCCTTTTGATATTCCTCCTGATGAGTTTGTTTTTGATTTTGAGGTGTCTACTTTGTCTCCTAGTAACACTACTAATCCCTCCCCAGCTCCTATTGCCCCTGCTCCTTTTCTTGTTTACAAGCGTCGCAAAGCACTTCCGAGCCCGCCTACTGTTAGTTCTACCACCCCTCTTACTGGCTCTATGGATCTCGCTCCTCCTGCACATAGCTTTCCCAAGCGAGCCCGACATCCTCCAAATAGACTTGGTTTTGGTAATACATGTTTCTCCCCTTCTTATCAGTCTTTTCTTTCTTGTCTTCATACTTACTTTGAGCCCAGGTCCTACAAGGAAGCCTGTAATGATTCGAATTGGATTGCTGCCATGAATGATGAGTTAACTGCTTTGTTAGTCATAATAGAGGCTTGAGATGAGAGATTTGGATCGGCCACCATGAAAGATTGAACTGCTTAAACATAGATTGCAAGGATCTTTGAAGAATTTGGATTTGTTGTGAGATAGTGTCTCTTGGCATTGTTTTGAGCTTCCGTTTCTTCCTCGTTTGGAGGGGTACTGCTCCTTTTGATTTCTAGAAAATGGAGATCTGTTTGTGATGCATAGTTTTGTTTTGACTTGTTTAAAGTTTTAACTTTTGTTGTAGACGACTCCTTGCCCTCTTTCTGTTTTTGCTGATCATAAAAGGAAAAAGAAAAAAAGATTAGTGTCGGTCCAACTAGGAGAGACTTTGAGTTACTAATTTTTTTGTAAGTAAAATTTTATAAAGAAAGATGGCACCAAGGGGGAGCCACATATATTGCTACTAAGAGAAAATGCAGTAAAAAAAACGTAAAACTACCATATATATGATCTGTTTTGTGCAGTTTCTTGTAAGCTGAAAGCTAATAATTAGATAGTAGAAGCTAAAAGCATCCCTTCCGCGGCTTTACATTTGTATTTCTATTTGGTAGCTACACGAATCCCAAATGACTAAGCTTGTACCAGCATTGCTACAATAATCATCATTGCTGCGCGTCTTTATTGGATCCTCATTCTTATGTGGCTGTTCTGCGTCCTCTTAATTATTTTGTATCCTTTTTAGTGTATTTTCTGTTCATTCTAGGGTGAGCATTTTGTTTAGTTGAGGTGGTCCATGTCTTGTGAAAACTTGTTTAGATTGTTTCACTGGGCATGTATTTTTATGAAGCAGTTTGATTGCAGGATGCTATGGAGAAAGCTATTAAAAACAAAGTTGCTAAAGCGGTTGTTCCAGCAATTGATGTTATGTTTCAAGCTTTAAGGTTAGCATATGTGCTTTCTATGAAGGAATTTTTTTATAACCATTCTTTCTATGATTTTCTAATTTTGGGGAATGATGCTTTTTTTTGTATTTGTTTTGTTTTTGTGCTTACAATTAGTGAATTTGGGTCAAAGATATTACCCCCTAAAAGAATTTTGAAGATGCTGCCTGAACTCTTTGATCACCAAGACCAACATGTTCGTGCTTCATCCAAAGGATTGACACTTGAGCTTTGCCGTTGGATTGGGAAAGAACCGGTGAAATCAATATTGTTTGAGAAAATGCGGGATACAATGGTATGTTTATTATTTATCGACTATTATCTTTGATTGGTGCCTTCTACTTTTTGATGTGGTTTTTACTTTTGTGGTTTGGTTTTCTATTTCTTTTTTAAGAAAAAAGAGTTGGAGGCTGAGCTTGTCAATGTTAGCGGGACAGCTAGACCGTCTCGCAAAATAAGGTAACCTTTTTACTGATTTCATGTTTTCTATTAAAATTCATGCCTTTCTTTATCTCAAAGAATGCTTGGACATGATTTATTTTGTCAAGCATTTGTTGAAGTTGGCCCTGTTTGGGAATAATTAAAACTGGTTCAAAGGATCACAACTTTTTTTTTTTTTTTTTTTTTTTTTTTTTTTTGGGATCAAGATCACAACTTATTTTAACATTTTCATTTCTTGATTTCATTTTTTTTTTGGAAATAGAAAACAAAAAAGTGGAATTGACTATAAAATTTCCAGAACTTTTGGAAACAAAAAAAAGGTGTTTTATTTTGTTTTCGAAACAAGTTTTCACTCCTTCATGCTTCCTCCACCACTGGCCATCGGCTACCACCGCCAGCCAGTTGGCTGACCTCCGAGGATCCTCCAATCAGTTCCAACAAATCACTGACCATCCTCTTGTGAAGTAAAGTGACCCTCTCGTGACTTTCAATGCCCCGACCATCACCTCCAGACACCACATCTGGCTACCCTCCACTGCTAGCCACCACCTCCAGCAACACATCAAGCATTTTTTTTTTTTTAAATTTTAATTTTGCTATATTTTGTTTCAAAACATGTGTAAACGAAATGAGTTTTTTGTATTTTTGCATAAGAACACAAACTTGTTTCCTATTTTTATGGAAACAAAAAACAAAAAATTGGTAAGTCAGCAACATTACCAAAGTACCCCAAGTATTTGGTAAATGCATTTCAAAATTATGCAGGGCCCGCCTTTCTTGGACAAAGTGTCCAAAACTTTAAATAAAAAAAATGTTTTATTTTAAAGAATGATCCTTTAGAAGTTTCACATAAAATTAAATGAAAAATGAAAAAGATACGTAAATGTATTAGCATAATATATTCAAAATGCTGGGGAGGATGGTGGATATGTTGCAACTACATATGTTTGTTGTAGTTTGTTTGATTTTTAACTATTATGGTCTAGTAGTCTAAAAGTTCACGTAAAAATTGGATACAAGATTTACTTGGTAAAAAATAATTATTTGATTTTGAATATTTATACATGTATAACTACATAATATAATATACTTCTAAATAATATAATATCAATATATAATTATTTGTGGTGTGTTTGAACTGTATCCGTATCCTACTTTTTTGGAATTTTTTGTGTCAATGTGTTTATGTCGTGTCATATCTGTGTTTATGCTTCATAGGTCATTGAATATATCTAACAATGTTTGTTCCTTTTTCCTTGAACATTTTGCTATGCTACATTTTAAATTATTTTGTTTGCATTATTTGTTTTTTTTTGGTTGTTGTTGCAAATTGCTTATAAAGCTCACATGGAGTTGATTTATGTGATACTGGTTCGTAACATTGATATTGCGCTGCTGCTGTGTTTTTGTCTTTTTGGTGTGTATTCCTTCTTTTATGTTAACAAGTCTTTTGTTACTTGGGCTGGTGCAATTCTTTGTGTGGTTGTTGGTTTAGGGTCAACTGCCCATTGGTACCCCTTGTTCTCTGAACATTATGACATTAAAGATTTCTTCTTCTAACCCTTGGAATACAGTCATCTCTGTAGCTTAGCTCATTTTGTATATTGCAAGGAGCAACGGAAAGTATAAGTGAACTTTTTATTTAAAAAAAAGATATGGAATTTCGGGAACTTATAGCAATCATAAAATGTGTTTTCCTCCTTGTTAGTAGTATGATTGTTTCCTAAGGTAAGCTTGCCTGATATGTATCCTTTACTCATAATGACATAATTTTTTTATAAATATTCATTATCAGTTGGTTCAAATCTGCACTTGGTGCTTATTTTTTATCTTCAATAATCTGTTAATATTTTTCTTTCCCTCAGGTCTGAGCAAGACAAGGAGACAGAGCAAGAACCTATTTCTGAAGTCATGGGCTCTGGTCCTCCCGAAGAATCTGTTGCGAATGGTTTGTGATCAACTCTGTAAAACTATTAGGGCACATGATGTTTAAAGTTTACTGTTTTTTGTGACGCCCCCAAATTTTTGGAACATCATAAAATTTAAATAACAAAATAGCTTGCTAATAAAATTTTTAACATCTACTTAGGGAAATTTAAATTCTCAAATAGTCAAAGTTAACAACACAAAAAAATTACAAATCCACATACAACATCACAACATTTTTAATTACTAATACAAGAGATAATAAAATTTTATTTTGATAAAATTTTGACTTCATGTTAGCCAAGATTCTATATTTGTAGTAGGTCCAACCTCAGCTTCCATTCCTTGCTCGTCAAAATCTGGCATAAAACGCCAGGGCAACAAAATATATGCCATGAGTTTTGCAACACAGTAAGAAAACATAACCAACCTACCATTCTTTTTAAGAGAAAATAATCAGATAATAATTATGACAATTAAGAGAAAATGACGGAATTAATAGTATGATAATATAACAACAATTAAAATAATTTCAACAATTTTATTAGTTTAAGTGACACTCAAAATCTCACTAAAGAGATTTTCTTACCAACCACTAAGCTATGGTCACGGTTAATTTGAAAATCCCACTTGGTCAAATATTCAAGAACTACTAAAGATGTTCGCACCCAGAGTTATATACTCAAGCAGAGACATCCGTGGTCTGTCCCAAAGGAATGGTCTGCCAGGGGTACGTAACCTCCCTGTATGCCACCCGCACATCCATCTTTATCTCAAAACCAAATACCGATAAGGGTTCAAATAAGTCACGCACCATCTTAGGGTTTTGCGACACAATTTTATAAAAGTTATTAAAAACTAGGGCTTGCCCTAAACAATCGGTATTAACCCTCAATTGTTAACTTTGTATAAGCCGTTAATCATTTCAATTAATTCTTATATTAATCACAAATAATTCAAATTTAATTGCCAATAATGTTATGCTAACTCATTAAAATTCCCAACATAAAACATTACATATGTCACACAATAATAAATCAATGTACAAAATTTAAATAAAAAATTAATTTAAACCATGGTATGAAATGATAATTTAGATACAAAGAAAATAAACCATAACCACACACATGTATGGATTTTTAATTTATAAGATTAGACTAGCACAATATTAAATTTTAGTCCAAATAAACAATTGAAGTGATAATTTTGGTTCCTTCTCAATCTGCCAGAAATTTGCAAAATGTATATTTTGTAATTAAAATTATAAATAAATTACTTATACAACTCTAAAATTTGTAAAAATCTATAGAGTACTCAATAAATATGTTATGGTCATTTTTCAGAAAGCATTTTCTAAAAATAAATTCTAAATAATTCTGAAAAATTCCAAGAAAATTTATGACATAGATTTATCACATTTTCTTAGATTTAATTCCATACTTAAATTTATAAATCAATTCCATAATCTAAAAATTTATTATGAAACTAGACTTTTCAAATTTCATTTTTGATTTAGAAATTACTGGATTTGGTTTAATATAGAATTTTTTATGATTTTTCAAACATATAGTAAAATCTGTCTGTAGTTCTAGATTTGATTAAAAATTTGTATAAATTCATACAAAACTCAATAATTGCTGCAAAAATTCCTGGATGAATTAGACATCATTCTCAACAACTTTGTAGAAGAAATCATCTCAACATTTTGAGTATAAAATTGCCTAAAAATTCGTACAACTGTTTGGCAGATTTAAGGACCAAATATAATATTCAATCATTTTTTTAATGATATAAACTACACATGCAAGTCTAATTTCACAATAATACCATGATTTTAAGACTACCAATATCTTCAAATTGATATATATAAATCACAAAATTTATATACAACTATAAATAAAATTCTATCTATAATTATTGCTATGAACGCAATCTGAAATTTTAACTTTTAAAAAAAATGAGTGGGTTAAGAGAATTTTCTTAATAATAGGATTGAAATAGGATGATGAAATGGTAGAAAATTTTAACTTCCTTAATCTCCTCTTCTTCTACTAAGCTTTGTTGCTCACAGAATTTCCCTCCGATCAGTTTTGAGTAAGAAATGTGCACTGTAAGTAGGCATATTAATAGACTCCTCACTTGAGGCTCTTCCCAACTGCTTTTCAATGTAATCATAGAAACGCTCTTCAATCTCTGCACAAACTTTGAAACCAATGGCATCACAATCACTTTGGGAGATGAAAACCTTTTCCATGAATGATATACCACCAAATTGTTTTAGTGCATGATCAATTATGCCACGAGCTTCATGTGAACTCCGTTTAATGGAAGGAGGGAAGCAAATTGGTGGTTGAACCAGATCAGCCTCTGTCAACTCATACTTGTCATGGAGTTTTCTACTTGGACTGAACACGTAAGAAACCATCGCGGGGCTAACGACGGAGTAAACAATAGACTTGATGCCTAAACGCCGCGCCATGGTTGGTACCCAATGAGCCAAATCGAAGAATATAAAATGGGGTTTGAGAGCTTTTAGAGAAGCTTCAATGGAGGGTTGTGTAAGATCCATGGCAGTCATGAGAAGAGGGTGCAATGGATAAGAAATATCTGTTGTTGTTTCAGCACCATGAGGGAGGCCATGAACATATGGAACTGTGACTGGAATGAAGGTGATGAGGTATGGGTTGAGTTGAGATTGAATTGCTCAAGCTTTGGTTTTGTGTTGGTGGGTATGAAGAAATAGATTCTATGGCCTCTCTGTGCAAGCCTGTTGGAGATGTGAAGATATGGGGTTAAGTGTCTCTCTCTCTCTCTCTCTCTCTCTCTCTCTTCTAATCATTCTGTGGAGTCTAATCCAATTTTTCAAATCCAAGGAATATGATTTGAGCCTACAATCTACAATGCCATGCATAAGAACAAGTGGCATTCATTGCCACAGAAAATTCGAAAATTTGATTCTGGTTTTTTATTTTATTTTTTATTTGTGTGGGTTTCTTAAAATTGATAAACTAAGGTTTTTAACTAAGGTATTTAGTAAGGATAATTATCATGTTGAACTCTTATTAAAATAATTTATAAACAACAAATATTGAACATCCACAAAATTATCATTCTTAATAATGTCTTTGTTAGTGATTGAATTGGGTTAAGTTAAAACTAGTTTATACACTCATATATATTTTAGAAAGACTCTGGGTAAAATTAATTAATTAATTTATTCATTTATTTTCTTTTAAGAATATTTAAATGTGGGTTCTCACATTTTTAGTTTACAAAAAACATTAAACATGTTTATGTTTATTTTTTGTAAACACAAAAAACAAAAACATGTTTGGTACACGTGTTTTGAATTTTTGTTTTCAAAACAAATGAAAGAGATGGCTCGTTGGTGATTGTTGGCTGTTGAAATGGTGGCCGAAAGTGTTTGCATGACAATCGAAGGAGGTGGTGGCTGCCGAAGGTGATTGAACGACAATCAGACGTGGTGGTGGCTGCCAAAAGTGGTTACTACTAGTGGGAGGTGGTTGGCGGCAGCGGGAGTTGATGGTCGGAGGAGGTCATTGGTGATTGTGGCTGGTGGTAGTGATGAGCAATGGATAATGGTGGTTGGAATAGGTTGAAGAAAGAGAAAAAAATGAAGGAAAAAAAATTAAACAAGTGAAATTAACTTTTTTGGTTAGAAAAATTTTGCTAATTTTATGAACTATTTATAATTTTTGAAAACGAAAACAAACATCAAACGAGTTTTGTTTACAGTTTTCAAAATTTTTGTAAATATAAATAGAAAACTGTAAACATAAACATTAACGTTTATAGTTTTTTGTTTTTTTTTTTTTTATAGAAAACATGTCTTTGGTAGTGTTTATAATTTATTTATTTTTACAAAAAACATTATATATTTATTTTTGGTAAAAATGAGCAAATGCATGTTTGGTACATGTGTTTTAAAACTTGTTTTGAAAACAAGTGAAAGGGTTGGCTGGTAGGAGGTGATGGCCAAAAGTGATTGTTGACAATTAGAGAGGGTGGTTGAATTGAAGGTGGTTATTGCCTGCCGAAGGTGGTTTCCGTGCAATGGGAGGTGGTTGGTGGTGGCTGAAGGTGGTGACTGGAGATGGTGGCCTACCATTGGAGGTTGTTTTTGGTAGGAGGTGGTGGCCAATGGTGGTTGCTATCAGTGGGAGGTGGTGGCTTGAAAAAGTTACTGATGATGATGGTTGGAGGAGGTGACCAGATATAATATGCTCTGTTATCAGAATCTTACAATTCGCAATTCAATTCACAATTCGATTCACAATTTTTGTAAAATCGATACGAATCTATGAGTGAATCTATTTTGAAAGTGAATCTCTAGTGAATCACACGATTCATAATCGATTCACGATTCGATTTATTTTTTACGATTCATACAATTTTTGAAACTATCGTGCTCGATATATTTTTGATTTTTTTTTTCTCCATCTTTTTGTGAACATAACATAATACATCTCCTAATAGCATTTAGTACCAAAATAACCAATATACATATACACGATTTGTTATTATTTAGTGATCATGGAGCATTTAATAGGATCCAATCAGATTCAATTAGACCTAACATATTTTTAACCTTTTTTTTCCCTTTAAAAAATTATAATATATCTTTTAAAGATGTTTAAGATTAAAGTAACTTACATCATGAATTATCTATTACTATTTTATTAAATTAAATATAGTTGAATATTATATGGTGAGGTCAATTATACCTTTTAAACTGTTTTAGGCTTTAAAAATAAAAGATCCTACATAATTCTTTATTGTTATTTGGTTATTGTTACTTGGAAAAGTATGTAAGCTTATTGTCCAAATATCAATATGGTTGTTAAATTATTGCTACTTTGAAAATTGAGAGTTTGTCTTTGTTTACTGTCTTTTATTAAGAATGGTTGAGGTAATATGGTGATCTTACACATTGTTAACTTCTTACCTATTAAACTATGAGATCATCATAAGATACATTTAATATCCAAATGTGTAGATATATTTTTCTAAGTAATTTAGAAAAAGTGATTGAATCTTTACGATTCACGATTTGCGATTTGAATCCCGATTTGACAACTATGGTGGAGGGGGTTGGGAGAAGTAGGAAGGAATGAAAACTTTTGTTCTAAACAAATGAAACCAAAATTTTGTTTTGTGGTTACAAGAAATTGGTAAATTTTTTGAACTTTTTTTCATGTTTTTGAAAATGAAAATAGATACTGAATGAGTTCTTGTTTACACTTTTCATTTTTTTTTTTTGCACTATTTTTTTTTTTTTTTGGTAACTATATAAACAGAAAACTGTGAACATAAATGTTACGAAACAAGTCATAATTTTTTTCCGCTTTCATTTTTGGACAAATGAGTTGGGAAAAGCTTAAAGTCTGATCTTCATGACAACTGAATTTTAGCATTGAATGCTTGGTATTCTTGACGTAACTTGAATTTCTGTATAAAAATTATCGCATTGAATGCTTGGACCTGATATATTTGTTGTTTTCAGCTCCTCAGGAAATTGATGAGTATGAACTCGTTGATCCTGTTGATATATTGACTCCTTTGGAGAAGACAGGCTTTTGGAATGGAGTGGTTGGTGCTCTTAGTCTTTTTCCATGTTATTCACTGACATTTAACTCTTGATTTGCTGTATTTCTCGTGTATAAATTCTCTCTCCTCTCCGATTAGTGTCATGAAGGACAAATTTGTGGCTGTGTTGCTTAATATCATTTTTAACACTTTTATGTTTTAGAAAGCTGCCAAGTGGTCAGATCGAAAAGAGGCTGTTGCCGAGCTAACCAAGCTCGCTTCGACAAAAAGGATAGCTCCCGGTGATTTCACAGAAATCTGTCGAACTCTTAAGAAGGTAATTTAATTATTGTTTATAAAATTCAGTCATGTTTTCTATATTTTATCATGTCTTGTTTGGATCAATCATGTTTCAGTGAAGTCTTTTCTTTGTGATGTTATTTTTTATTTTATTTTTTCTCCGTTTCATTTGCTGATATTTTTAATGTAAGGAATCTGTCTGGACAATTCTTACTCATTTCCTTGATAATGAGCCAGATCCACTGATATTGATTTGATTCTTCCAATAAGAACTTATAAATGCATGATCACATGCTTGTGTTACTCTGTCACTGCATGTAAGAAATAAATGATGGTGGCAATTGAAACATGACTTGAAGGGTGAATGCTACATCTCATCGTCGTCATTGTCGTCGTTCATGGGTCCTTTGTCCAGATCACATGATACCCATCCACTTTGAAACAATAATTTGAGAAAGTGAGAGAGGATAGAGAGAGAGAGAGAGACACAATTGTTTTATCTGTCAAAAGAATGTAATTACACACAGAGAAGGCACTCTCTTTTATAGAGAGAAATGGATGCCTTGGATGCCTTGGAGAATGTCCACCGAAAGCATGCCTATGATGATGTCCACCTAAAGTATACAATTATACAATTATATACAATTTATATATTAACAAATGAGATGGACAGTAAGTTGCCATATATCAACAAACAACAATCAACTCTCAAAAACAAGTAGAGAGTTTACGGACCGTTTTAATTCGTCTCTCCTCTCTCTTGTTCATTATTCCCAATCTATATTTTACTATTCTCTCTCTACGAAGCAAACTGGTTAATTTCAAAATTTCAATCCAAAAATTCAAATATTAAATTTTGAATATAATTGATTCAAACAAAACAACCAACCACAAAACCATTCATAAATTTTCTCATCTTTCTTTTAGTTTGATTGAACGGCGAACTTCCGCATGGCGGCCAACTTCTTCAACCATGATACCAACTTCACTGCATTGGATTCTTTCTCACCCTGTCTATTTATAGTTTTGTAGATCATTTAACTTTGATTTATTTTAGACTAAGCTCAGTTTATGCGATGCTTGGGTTTGGTGTAAATGCTCGATCTGAACAAACAAATAGTTATATGAATTCATAGCATTCTTTTAAATTTGTTAAATAATACATAGTGGTTGGAATAGTTTATTAAGTGCTTATTGTAGGTGTTGATTTCCGACTACACAACCAATTAGGGAACTTATCTGGAGAGTATTGGCAGAATAAATTAAGCTCAACAATCTGTAACAAGAAAATAATAATACCGCGATGGTTCGCCATCCGGGGACACTCGACGATCAAGTCAATAATCAATATCTTTTACAGATAGCAAATTGTCCTCAAAACTCACCAGAAAGAACTTACCTCCGACTTACGAGGGTGCCATGTTTTTATAACCAGCAGTGACCTAATTCCCCAAAAGCCTTATTTTATTGAGCTCAAGCTCAGTGCTTATCCTAGACTCCCAGCTAGAGACTTTTGTCCCTTATCCACTTACCTTGGATTTTGGTATCTTCGCAGATGATCTCAGTCTATCTGAGATCATCTCGGCAAACATGACTAGGCCACATGGCATGTCGGTTGATACTTCGGCGTCACCTTTGAAAGATTAGTTTGAGAGAGTGAGAGAAGCTATAGAGCGAGAGAGAGACTCTGAAATGTTTGTATATTGATTGATTTTCAATGAATAATGAAGTCTCTCTTTATAGAGAGAAAATGGGCATTGGATACCACCATTACCACCGAAAGCAAAAGGTAAGCTATACAATTAATAATATAAAGCTAAAGCTAGTCTAGTCTAACATAAAGCTATACAATGAATAATGAGAAAGCTAAAGCTATTCTAACAGCCCCCCGCAAACTCAAGGAGGGAAAGCATCAACCAAGTTGAGTTTGGAAACAAGATCATTGAAGCGGCCAGGAGGATGAGCCTTAGTGAAGATATCAGCGGGTTGATCGACTGAAGCAATAGGAAGAAGATGAACAGTTCCACAGGTGACATGCTGGCGAATAAAATGACAATCAATCTCAATATGTTTGGTGCGATCATGAAAAACATCATTGTGAGCAATCTGAATGGCACTATGATTGTCACAATAGAGAGGGGTAGGAGCAGATGAAGAAACACCCATATCAGCAAGGAGCCAGCGAAGCCAGAGAAGTTCCTGAGTAGTATCAGCAAGAGCTCGGTATTCAGCTTCGGTGCTAGAGCGGGCAGTGAGGGATTGTTTTTTGCTACGCCAAGCAAAAAGAGAATCCCTTAAGAAGAAACAGAATCCCGTGGTGGAGCGTCGATCCGTAGGATCCCCAGCCCAATCAGCATCGGAAAAGGCACGTAGGTCAAGAGAGGAAGAAGCCGAGAAGTGAAGACCATGGAACAGAGTGCCTTTGAGGTAGCGAAGGATGCGGAGTAGAGCAGTATAGTGGGGAGTGCGAGAAGCCGACATGTACTGACTGACAATGTGAACAGCATAGGCAATGTCAGGACGAGTGACTGTGAGATAGACAAGACTGCCGACGAGCTGGCGATAAAGAGTAGCATCAGAGAGAAGAGTCCCATCGAGAGGAGTGAGACGAATCTGAGGATCAACCGGAGTAGAGGCAGTTTTGCAATCAGTAAGACCAGCTCGAGCCAGAAGATCGGATGCATATTTGGCCTGGGACAAATAGGAACCAGTAGAATCATGAGAGACTTCAAGGCCTAAGAAGTAGTTAAGAGTACCAAGGTCCTTCATCTCAAACTGGCGGTGGAGAAACTGTTTGAGGTGGAGAATACCAGCTTCATCATTACCAGTGATAATCATATCATCCACATACAGAAGAAGAAGAGTAGTACCATGAGAAGTAGTCCGTATAAAAAGAGCAGAGTCATAGGAGCTAGAGGTGAATCCGAAGTCATGAATGGTAGAACTGAACTTAGCAAACCAAGCACGAGGCGCTTGCTTGAGACCATAAAGAGCACGCTGTAGTTTGCAAACCTGATGAGGTTGAAAAGTGGACCCAGGTGGAGGTTGCATGTAGACCTCCTCAAGGAGATGACCATTGAGGAAAGCATTTTTGACATCCATCTGAAAGAGCCCCCAGTGGCGAGCAGTAGCAACAGCAACTGAACTGCGAACAGAGGTAAGCCGAGCAACAGAAGAGAATGTCTATTGCATATTACTCAAGCCGTGACACAGGGAATCCTTTCTGCTTACTAGTGAGGAATCAAGGACCATCTAGCAATCTTCCCTCCTACTGCAATGGTTTTTTGCTTGGAGTAAATACATGAGCTTGAGCTTGAAGCCAAGAGAGTCTGAATCAGAGTCTTTTCCTGTGAGTTGTGCCCTAATTTTATCTACTTCTTGTCAGCTAATGACAATGGTTTGCTGATGAGAGATGTAGGTCATAAGTGGGCACTGCATTTAACATAATTTGTTGAAGCTTTTTGTAATTTTTCTCTTAAGCTATGATATGTTTTGATTATACACCTTCTTGTCGGTCTACTTTTTTCATTTTTGTTATCTGAACCAATCTGCTGCTGGTAATTCAGTGCTTATGAGATAAATGGCTGTCCAATGCCTCGTAAGTGCAGATGTATCCCACATAATCATCACAAAAGCTAGTTTTACACCAAAATTACTACTACATTTCAACTTGCATCAATCACAGCTCGCTGAAATTTTAATTTTTTTTTTTTTGGGGGGGTAATTTTTTTTCTTCCACTACACTTTGGATATGCTATGTATGACTTGGTGCCCCATTTCATTAAAGTGGACTAAAGATGTAAAATTTTCAAGACTTCCATAGATATTCAGTTTGTGGGAACAAAAGTTATATCTTC